ATCAGTAGTATATAGGTATAAACAGAAATACTGCCCACTCACCTGGAGTTTGCCCTACAACTCCCTAGCACAATACATCAAGGCGTCATGACGATCGACGCCTAGAACAATAATCAAATCCAACCTCAGAAATCATATCGATAGAATATATAACTCATATAAAACACGTCACTACGTAGTTCGATCCGGAAGATCTGTAACTCAGATTTCCAATCCATAACTTCCAGAGGTCCATAATATATCTCTAGAATGACATCCTAAATTTCCTTACCATCCAACGGTCGGATCTCCGTCAATTGTCAAAACCAAGTGACGGTTAACATTCTATTTTATGAACTTACAATTCCAATTCCGGAAGATCCGTAAATCGGATTCCCGATCCGTAAATCGGATCCCCAATCCGTAAGTTTATATAATCCTCAAATATTACGTATTACAACGTATCAAAGTTTGGTGACAATCCAACGGTCGGATCGTCAATTCACATTTTCACCTAACCACGAATCGAAACGAACTTAGGTTCAATTACTCAATTTACGTCCATCAATTATCAAAACTGAACCTAGAACCTTAAACACATGCTAAGAATGACATTGGCGGGCCATTGGCCACGCGCCGCCGCAGGGGCCGCTGCGGGTGGCGGTTGGCCGCCCCGGGTCGCCGGAAAATCCAACTATTTCCAAAAATTCTCAAAAAAATACAGAATTGAAGATCTCAATGAGTAGAGTAAACTTTATACCTGAGGCCAATGCCAATTTGGCCTAGAAACACTTCAATTTCACCAAAATCCGTGCGGAACCCTAGAATTGGGTGAGTTCCAATTCGTCTTCAAATCAACTCCGTCGTCCCAAAAAATGCTTAGGCTTTGTTTCAGGTCCTAATGGAATGCTAATGATGTTAGTAATTGAAAGAAAACATTTCAAGATTTGAAGAATTTGAACAAGAAAGTCGCGGCACCCACGGGTGCGTTCTTCACCAAACCTCCATCAAATTTCATGATTTTTGAGGTGAAACATGAAGAGGGAAGGCCTAGGTGTTGATTGGGAGTGGTACCTTGATCCAATTTGTGAGAAATCCGATGAAAATCGTCGGAAAAATGGAGATGGGTGCGCGGGTACACGGGTTGGGGATAACCCGTTTCTTCCTTCTCTCCTCCGCTTCTCGCCTTCTCTCCTTTCCTCCTTTCTTGCTTTCTGATTGGCCAGTCTCCTCTCTCTCTTCTCCCCATTCGCCAGCTCTCTCTCCTTTCCCTCCCGGAGCTCCTGCTCTCTTCCTCTGGTTGGGCAGTTTTTGCCCAATCTCTTCTTCTTCTCTTTTTCCTGTCACATACACACACACACAAAACCTTTCTACATCTTTTTATTTTTTTATTTTCTTTCCCTTACATCCAAGCCATCTATTTCAAATTTCCTTTAATCTAGGCCATCCAAATTTTAATAATAAAATTCATAAAAAGGTCCAAACTTCAAACTTTAAAATCTTTTTCGTTATAACTCCAAATAACGAACCGTTTGCGCCCACGGTTCCGTAGTGATGGGTGCTATGAGGATATGTCAAGAAAACAAATCTTAGATGGCACGACACAACGATTAACCTCGAATAATGCACGTGCCTAGAAGGGCATTTTTGTAAAATCCTTTATTAAAACTTTAAAAACTCTTAAAATCACGAACGGGCTGTCACATTTATGAATCCAAACAAATGAATTGGTGCATGTCAATTTATAAATTCTGACGTTTACCCAAATTCCAAGTTTATTTTTATCATCCTGCTACTATTTAAGTTAATAGTAATCGAACCCCACTTTTACTTACTCATTTTCTTATGCCAAAATTGACCTAAATTATTTTTTTCTTCTACCAAAAACCTAACATTCTTATATTCTCAACTTTTACTATTTTTTACAGTGTAACTTATTAGGTAATGTGACTTGTGTTGTTACAATATTACCTAATCAAACGTTTGACACCGTACATTTAGATATTACTAGAAATAATTGTCCATGTGTTGCTACGGGGTTAGAAATTGCAAGATTAATTATGTAGGCCGTCCATTTTGGACTCAATCGCAACGCCACTGTCTGCACGAAGGTAAGTCCATGGAGAACTAATCTCCTTAATGTCCTGCTATAGGCTGCTTTGTCAAAGAGGATTCTTGATATAATACTTATGTTATATCATCTTTTCTTAGAACTACGCAAGTGATTTGATTCTCCTTCTCGGAGTTATGTAAGCAATCCTTCCCGGATTCAATCACACCCCCTTCTCAAACAACCCTATTTCCTTTATCAATAAAGAAATTTCGAAGTTTGTTTATTTTACGATCAATGTTTGTTTGTTTCTTTTTTTCGATGATGCAGGGAGTACCTTAATCACTTGAGCAAAACATAACTTTGAAACTTTACATGATTGCAAGTCTAAAAATCCAAAGTAATATTGTCAGAGGAGTCTCTTTTAGCCCATTTCGTATTATTCAGTTAGCAGCTTGGGAGACTCGAACCGTAGTAAGCGCGGTTACGATTGACGGGTTACAGGCATGGACATATGACACCCTAACCTGGAAATCTAATGCATTCGGCCTCCAGAAAGTTTATACAATTAATAAAGTTGTGGAATGTAACATTCAAACCTAGGCTGTACACCATTCAAGGGAATAATAGAAATGGCGATCTAGAAATCATCTGAGGGCGGCTTTGAACTCTGATCTTGAGTACGACTACTTCTATCTCGGACCAACATACTAAGTTAAAGTATGTTTTGAGACACCATGTGCTCAGCAGGTTCGAAAGGGCATCCAGACTAGGCAATTCCCAAGAGGAATTTTATTCCAACAGAGCTCTGATGCGTGAAAATGTTTTGGCTAAGTCAACCAATATAGTCCAGTCGGAAATGCTCAGGTTTGACGCATAGGGTCTGACAAAAGGATTCCAAAGGCGTTTTCGACCCACATGCAGGCAACCAAGTCCCCAAAGAACTTTCGTTTTTGATTTAGTGGGGATGAACAAGCAATTTGAACTAAGGAGGAAATCTTCCCTAAATATTAGGTTGAGTATGCCAAGAACCTTAACTACAAATCGGGAGCAAGAAGAATAAACGAGAACAAAATAAAGACTGGAGGCCATTACAGACACAAGACGACACTTTCCCATCCTCAATTCGATCAATGAACTAAGGCAAGTGCAGCGTAAAGATTATCCATGGGTTTAATACCTAGTACCAAAGTAAAGTGGTGATGGAAATCTTTATGGGCACTAAGCTTGGGAGGTAATGTTTTTCTGAATCAACATTACCGACGAGAAATTCGAGCTTTGTCTCGGGACCATAAGCTTACTCATGTTCCCCTCTATTACTCATTAATTTGAAGTTAGCTTACTTCGAAAAGATTGTTAGATTAAACTATAATCTACAACGTAGAAGCAAGGGATGAAAACTTTATAGCATTTGATGGCTTGGGTAAAAACTACTCAACCAAGAGAATAAATGCCATTCAAAGATTGTGCGTTCATAAACAAAGTGCGATAGAATGAGAAGAGCCCAAATCCCATGACCGAAGAAAGGTGCTCAAGATATGGAAGGGACACGCCCCCAGCCTAGTGAACAACAAAATAAATGCAAAACGTCGTTGTCATTCCTTTGCAATAGCTTTCCCTTTGGCAGAAGATGAAGGAGTTGCAGGAGTACCAGTTGGCGGATCACCATTAGAGCTAGACTCTTCTTTTTGTTCCGCCTCTAAGTGGGAAATTTTTTGCCATGCGTAGCCCGAGATATAGCCAAAGTTATACCCATCCACAGTTCCACTATTCCTCTTCTGACGCTTTTTTGTGACAAGCACGCAAGGTTGCAATTTTGGACTCATGCTCATCCTTGAGGTTGGACCTGGCATTTCAAACCCAACTCGTTAACACGACCTGACTAGATCCATTAAAATGAGTATTCGGGTTGGTATTTAATGAGTTGGGTGATTAACGCGTCAACCCGTTAAATAACGGATCATTTTGGATGAACCCACGAAACCCGTTAACCACCCGTTATTGAGGGCTTTTGTGTAATTTCAATAGTCAATAATGAAGCCCTCACTCTGTCTTTGAGAAGTTTTTGGTGGGTGAAGGAGATGAAATGCATAATGTGCTCTCTAGGTGTTTGATGAAATGACCTTGTGAAGATGGAAGTTAATGTCGTCGACTTCGACGACAATGTCGCTTGGTAATCCAGTGGTAAAGAACCTACAAAGACAAGATTTTGAAGCGAGTTTTGGCGAATTGGTGCATTGTTTTCAAATGGGTATCCAGCAGAAAAATCGAAAAGGTGAGGTTTTTAAATTGAATTTGACCATTGAACTCACCATGCTTGGCCTTTGGAGTTTGATTTCTCAGTTGCCGTCGTCGTTGTCGTCGCCACTGATGCTGCCATTTTCTCGACCAGGTAATGTCTCTGTGTATCTACCTCTTGAGTGAAAGAAAACCTTTTTTAAGTAGGGAATCAGAAACCCAGATCCATGAGAGAGACGAATAGGGTAAGGGACTGACTTCAGTTCACTAAAACAGCTGAGAGACTGAAGGAATAAAAGGAAGGTTGAAGGGAATGGAATTGGGTGGTTGTGAGATTTCGTGATAATCAATTCAACATTTGGAGAGAGAGACAAGAGAAACAATGAAAGAAAAAAGACAAAAAAAAGTTAACGGGTTGGGTTCGGATGATTCATTAAATTAATAGGTCGGATTGAACCCGATCCAAATCTAATAAACCTGGCCCGTTTACAGGTCTACTTGAGGTGTTGAAGACATGCAAAACGATTAACAATCACCCACACCTGATGCTAGTCGACAGACCCACACGTCACACCTTTGAATTGGGCTAAGATATATTTGTACCAACCCAAAGATCTCCTTAAATCTACTTCTCCAGCCCAACTTCCAGCCCATCAGCCAGGTCCCACAAACTCCAGCCAAACTTCGACGTGTTGTCAATCCATGGGATATGAGCACCCTACGACATAGACGACCCAGATTCAACCGATATCTACACCCCGGCCCTCATCTCTCTCAGCACCAAGCAGACACTGTGAATAACTTGAAAATGTTTTTCAACTGTAAATAACTGAATCAGTAGAGAGCCACGGTTGGATCACGACGCAGTCACGGAAGACGAATTGGCCAAAAGGGTTGCCGAATCCCGATCCGCAATTCGGAGATCCAAATGACGGATTCGAATCTGGAGTTGCAGGAATCGGGTTGGGAGGAGCTGAGGAGGGAGGCCAGGAAGATTGAGGGAGATCTTGATGTGAAGCTCTCTTCTTACGCTAAGCTTGGTGCTAGGTTCACTCAAGGAGGTTCATTTCTTCCAACTTTGATCCTAATGTGATTTGTTTTTTTATGAAAGTTGTTAACTGCTGAATTATGTGATTTGGGTTTTGTTAATTACGTGATTTGTGCGTTGCATTTTAGTTATGGATGGATTTGGAATGATGGGTTGTGGTAGTTTAGTGAAAGGAAGCTTGGGTTATTGTTCTAGTTGGGAAAAATGGGGGTGACCGCCCAGTTGCTAAAATTTGGAGGAAAGGGAAGGAGAATGTATGATTTATTTTCTATTGTGCTGATTATAAAAAACCTAGTATGACGGGTTTGCTCGATTCAGCAGCGCCTTTTGGCGAAATTGGATTTTCTCTCATACGAGGACGTCCTATTTGCCGGTACTGAAGCTGAAGATCTATGTGATTGAGATTATAAATGTAATGGTGGTTCTTGATTCAACAAGAGATTAGGCTATTGACGGGAAAAAAAAATATTGGATTTGATGGGAGAAGTTGGTGAGGCTTTAGGGAGAAAGAGTGGAGAGATGGAGAGATGCAGAGCACAAACTGACGGGGAAAACAAGAGAGTAAGGGTAGAGAGGGGAGAGAGAGTAAGTCAGAACCAAATGTGAATTAAAAATATAAATTTTTTTTTTTAGAAGAATTAAAATATAAAATATTGAAAAAATGAATTAAAACAAATAACAAAAAAGTATTGGGATCCTAAAAATAATTTATCTGTGACTTAGTCTGACGGTGCGCCAAACGTTTCACTGTTGTTATCTTGCTAAGTCCAAGCCAAGACAGTCAAGCTTAGTCCTTGAAGCTAATCTAGTCCAAGATAGTCCAGTGCAACAAACGCACCCCTAGCTTCTGCTAAACATTGTGACCCTACTTTTGAATATTTATTATTGACATCGTACCTATTATCAATGAACTAACTGCCTTTATAACAATATAAATATTGAAATCAGGTTATGTAGATTCTGGGTCACCACCTGTTAGTTCGAGCAGGTCATGGAAGTCCATGGAAATGGAGATCGAATCTTTGCTAGAGAAACTTTTGGATATCAATGATTCAATGAGTCGATGTGCTGCATCTGCTACACCAGCTACTTCTGTAACTCAGAAGCTAGCAAGGCATAGAGACATACTTCATGAGTTTACCCAGGTTCACCTTTCTTGTACCTTCTACTTTTGGTTTTCAAATTTCTACCGTCTTGTTTTGCCTTTTGTTCCTCTGATGCAACTTATAGCTAGCTTCTAATAGTTCTCCTTATTTGGTGCATGGTAATACATGGAGATTAGTAATCTTTGCATTGCTGTGGCTCGGATATGCAATGCTCGTTTTATAATTGTTACACATATATAATATAACTACATGAAAAGACTAGTGTGAAATATTACCATATTCTAGAATGATCTTGCATATCATCTATGGTCACAAACCTTACTCGAGTTTCATATTTGATTATAAAAAATAATAGTAATATAACGTGTGTACCGCTGTGCAGTAATATGCTTTATTGTTTTGGAATTTCAATCCTGAATCTGACTGGACCTGGATTTTGTAACTCTTGTAATCATTTTGAATGGAGCAAGGTGCCTCTTGAAGCATCCTTTCTCAGTTTATGTTTTGGCACAGCCACAGGTATCTTAGGTTCATCCTTAATATTATCCAAGGTGTGAATTCTAGTCCTAAGCTTCTCCAGGTCCTCATTACAGACGTCTAAAGTAAATCTTGCTTTTTGACTCTATAAGTGCTTCGTGAGTTGAGGTAGCCCCATTTGCAACTTTGTGTGAAAATTTCCTTGTATATATCCTCCCTTTTTTGGGGTGAGGGACGGAAGTAATGTTAAAGCTACAAGCCATATAATGACTGCCCTATTCATGGAGTTCTGGCTCGAAGATAATGTTTTTGAAATCTTGTTCTTGAAGGTTGGGCTCTGGTTGAATCTTAAGCTAAATTAGGTTTCGTATATTGTCAGTTTTAAATTTGATGCAGATTTAATAATCTGGCATTTTTTAGCCGACCCCACTTAGTGGGAAAAGGCTTTGTTGTTGTTGTTGTTGTTGTATTTAATAATCTGGCATTTTTAAGACATTTGAATTGGATTTTCCCATCATTTAATTGGATCCCTTTTGCTGGAACATGTGTGAATCATCTTGTGGTCACTTAGAATGCATACAATCTCCCTCCTCCTTCTCCAACCATTTGTATTTATATCAGGGTAGCAATTATCTTATGTATTTATTTTAGCTTTTTTGTTGTTTTACATTGATCTCTTTACTGCTGTAATTAGCATTTTAGTATCTGAGTAAACAAAATGATCACTGAAATCTTTTCCATTGTGAAAATGGTGCTTGTCTCTTTAGGAATTTAGAGAATCAAGGGGAACATAAATTCATTGAGGGAACATGCGGAGCTTCTGACTTCAGTCAGGGATGATATCAGTGAGTACAAGGTAATTATAATTAAAACTCTGGTTATTAAATAATTACATAATTAAGATAGTTGCATGTTGTTTTTCCTTTTGCTTTTATTTCATTTTTGTCTTGAATTCTGTATGCTCCTCTTTCTTAAATCAGGTTTGTTTTACATCTCCTCATGCAGGCATCGGGGAGTATGTCACCAAGAATGCAAATACTACGGGAGAGAGCTGCCATCCACGGAAGTGTATCTCATGTAAGTTTAAGTGTTATTTGGTGATAATCACATGTTAGGTTATGAAGCAACATAATTGCCTTTTTGTATTTTCCCATGGAACACTGCCCTCCTTTTTTCTTTCTAAATTTGGGTCTAACTGAGGCTTATCTGGTCTATATGAGCTTCACAAGAGTACCTCTCTTCCATTCCATAAACCCTTTGCAAACATTGGTAAAGATTGCATGCAATGCTAGGTCTTAGTGAAAACAGATTTTACACTTCAAACAGGTTGAAGTTCAAAGTAACAAATGTAAATATAGAAGTGTTTGAGGGTCAACTCAAATAACAAACTATTCACCGGTTAGGATAGTACAGATTGAAAGTGGTCCAACAAATTTTCCTTGGATCAAAGATCTGGCTTTAAAATACTTCTGATCCTTTCCATATGCCCATTTTCTTATCTTTAGATAATGCCTAAGGCAATGGTATTGGAGTTACAAGTAGGATGCGCTAAGCTGGGTGATTCTGACATTGGTGGTAGATTTTCTTGCACTTTGGCATGTGGCTTTCTATTGTGAGATTGATGCTGTTTTATGCAGTACGTCCTTATTTGATGAAGAATATTTACGGGAGTAGGAAGAGGATGACACTGAAGGATGTGAAATGCCTTTATGTGCAACTTATTTTCAGAAACCTTATTTTTTTAGCTGGCCCACCATCCTGCAATTACTACAGTGAATTCGTAGTTTGAGTTCTGAGACTTGCAACTCTAGGATTTGTTTTATGTTGATATCTTCCCCTCTTATGCATCCTGTTAGAAATGGATGCGTTTTTCACGTAGAAATAAAGCAAAACAGAAGTTTCCCTAACCTTTTTCCAGCACTGAATATGTTTGGTTTCCACTTTCCAACAATTGTATTCTAAAGTCTTAGAGAACCATCAATGTTGCTGTGAAATTTACAGAGAGGAAAACACATGTGCTCCTTGCCTTTTAATAGAGTAGTTCCTTAGCAATCTGCATGATTCATTACATATTAGAACATATAGTTTGGGCCCGAAAAAATAAGGAAAAAAAGGGTCTCATGGTTCGGTATCCATTTTTTTATATTAAAATTCTAATACAACAACAACAACAACAAAGCCTTTTCCCACTAAGTGGGGTCGGCTATATGAATCCTAGAACGCCATTGCGCTCGGTTTTGTGTCATGTCCTTCGTTAGATCCAAGTACTCAAGTCTTTTCTTGGGGTCTCTTCCAAAGTTTTCCTAGGTCTTCCTCTACCCCTTCGGCCCTGAACCTCTGTCCCGTAGTCACATTTTCGAACCGGAGCGTCAGTAGGCCTTCTTTGCACATGTCCAAACCACCGGAACCGATTTTCTCTCATATTTCCTTCAATTTTGGCTACTCCTACTTTACCTCGGATATCCTCATTCCCAATCTTATCCTTTCTCGTGTGCCCATACATCCCACGAAGCATCCTCATCTCCGTTACATCCAATTTGTGTACGTGTTGATGCTTCACCGCCCAACATTCTGTGCCATACAACATCGCTGGCCTTATTGCTGTCCTATAAAATTTTTCCTTGAGCTTCAGTGGCCTACGACGGTCACACAACACGCCGGATGCACTCTTACACTTCATCCATCCAGCTTGTATTCTATGGTTGAGATCTCCATCTAATTCTCCGTTCTCTTGCAAGATAGATCCTAGGTAGCGAAAACGGTCATTTTTTGTGATCTTCGTAAGATTGCTTTGGTCATTAGTGTGGATAAGTATATAAATGGATAGAAATAGGAAAGCAAACACAAGATGTACGTGGTTCACCCAGATTGGCTACGTCCACGGAATAGAGGAGTTCTCATTAATTGTGAAGGGTTTACACAAGTACATAGGTTCAAGCTCTCCTTTAGTGAGTACAAGTGAATGATTTAGTACAAATGACATTAGGAAATATTGTGGGAGAATGATCTCGTAACCACGAAACTTCTAAGTACCGGAGTGTGGTATCGTCTTGACTTGCCTTATCTGTCTCATAGGTAGATGTGGCATCTTCTCTGGAAGTACTCTTCCTCCATCCATGGGTGGTATCTGTAACTGGTGGAGATGCACAAGGTAATGTATCAATTTCACTTGAAGCTTATTTGTAGTTTCAGGCTTGGTCAAGCGCGATACAAACCATGTAGTAGGAGTCCCCCAAGTCGCCGAGCTAGGGGATCTGCTGAAAGAGGTGACAGACAAGGTAAGCAATCAGAGCTCCGGCTGATTGTTCACATTCTCCCTATCTTGCAGGCAGCATGAAGGATAAAGAGAAGAAAAATGAGAAGAGATGATATGGGATATTTTTGCTTTTGAAGAAGTAACTTTCCACATGCTTATTCTTGAACTGGGCTGGAGGGTATTTCTGGTTTCCTCCAGAGTATAAGGCCGACTGAAGAATTTGAGGGTCAAAACAAGTCCATCAAATCTAGAGTACGTTCGACCCTGCTGATATGGGATACTTTTGCTTTTGACAGAGTAGTGGATGTATCGGCACGTGTGCTGTTACGCTTGTCTCCACATGCTTCCTTGTATCCTTCTCACTTGCCCTATCTGTTCCTCAGGCAGATGTGGTATCTTCCCTGGAAGCATAAGATGTTGAAGATGAGTACTCGAGAGCAATGCCAGGTAAGTAATCAGGTAAGGGGTTCCAGGCAGTCAGTTCCTGGCTGGAAGCTTGATTCCAAGTGCTGACTGATTGCTCTCTTTCTCCTTGTCTTGCAGGTAAGAACAAGGCCAAAGGAAAAGACAAGGGAAAAAGCATGATATGGGATACTCTTGCTTTTAACCCTGATGATATGAGATATTCTTGCTCTAGTATAGCTTGTTTACAGAGGTATTATCGGGGGGAAAGAAAGCTGAATATTTCGAAAGGTTTTCGTTGGGAGTGCCCTCTCAGATAAGAGGAAGGGTTGAGCATTTTTGCAGGTCTGCCTGTCCGTTGGGGATGGAGGTCGACATATATAGGAGTCTCCCTAACATCAAGTAATAATGCTATTCCTTTACCCTGCTTGGTCATAGCACGGTAGTGGGAGCTGCCAGCTTCACATGTTTTAACTCTGTCAGAGCACTTTGAAAAAGTGGTCTGTGGTATCTGGAAAGCTGATGTTGCGTGTGAAGATTACAGACAAGCTTTATCCAAGGAGATCCAGCTCTTGAAGTTGGGAAAGTGGTGCCTCTTTGGTTTTCGAACAAGCAATCCTGTCGGGGATCTGGTTCTCGAGATTCGGAGAACGATGCCTCTTCGATTTTTGAGAAAGCAATCCTGCTGGTTTACCTTACCACGAAACATAGAGGTTGACACACAGGGACTTTCCAATTATCCAGCAGTGGTACTGTTCCTTTACCTTCTCTTTGATTTTTGAGAAAGTAATCATGTTGGGAGTCTGGCTCTCGAGATTCGGAGGGCGGTGCCTCTTCGATTTTGGAGCAAGCAATCTTGTTGGGAGTGTTTTCTCGAATGTGAGTAAAGGTTAGGCATGTTTGCTAGTCTACCTTGCCACGAAGCATAGAGGTTGACACACAGGGACTTTCCAATTATCCAGCAGTGGTACTGTTTCTTTACCCTCTCTTCGATTTTTGAGAAAGTAATCATGTTGGGAGTCTATTCACCTCTCACAGACCCTGCGTAAAGCGGGAGCCTTGTGCACTGGGTACGACCTTTTTAATCATGTTGGGAGTCTGGCTCTCGAGATTCGGAAGGCGGTGCCTCTTCGATTTTGGAGCAAGTAATCTTGTTGGGAGTGTTTTCTCGAATGTGAGTAAAGGTTGGGCATGTTTGCTAGTCTACCTTGTCACGAAGCACAGAGGTTGACACATCGGGACTTTCCAATTATCCAGCAGTGGTACTGTCCCTTTACCCTTGTGGGTAATAATATGGTAGCTAGACCTTCAAAATTTATGTGTCTAAACTTTGTTAGTATTGTTTCTTTGCTATTCTTTTACCCTTCTTGGTCAGAGCGATGTAGTGGGAGCTGCAAGCTTCACGTGTCTCAACTTTGTCAGAGAACTTTGGCAAAGTTATCTGTGGTACCCATGAGCTACTGTTGCGTGTGGGAAGTGGGTGATTGAACAGTACGATTCATGTGCTTTCTACTTCGCCAGAAATCTTCGACAGAATGCCCATAATTTCCGCAAAGTTGAGTGTGCGTGTGACAGGTGCTGACAAGGCTGGAAAAGTAGGTGCCTCTTCGATTTCTGAGATCGGCCCTCGTGGTCTCTGAGCAGCCCAGCTTTTGAGAAAGCAAGCCTCTTCGATTTCTGAGATCGGCCTTCGTGGTCTTTGAGCAGCCCAGCTTTTGAGAAAGCAAACGCCTCTTCGATTTCTGAGATCGACCCTCGTGGTCTCTGAGCAGCCCAGCTTTTGAGAAAGCAAACGCCTCTTCGATTTCTGAGCAGGCGCCTCTTCGATTTCTGAAGCTTCGTCGAGTGCAGATTTTTATAGGGGCTGACATTAAGTTCCAAAGCACACTTGAATATCCACCAGTAGAAGCTCCATTCTTGCACTTCTAAGATCTTGATTTGTCCGACCTCTTCTCTCTTCAACACCTTTGAAAATGTCTGGCCCATCCGACCGTCATTTTGACTTGAACCTTGTTGAAGAGGCAGCCCCGCCTTCTCCAGACAACATATGGCGCCCATCCTTCGTCTCCCCTACTGGTCCTCTTACCGTTGGGGATTCCGTGATGAAGAATGATATGACCGCTGCGGTAGTGGCCAGGAACCTTCTCACTCCCAAAGATAACAGACTACTTTCCAAACGGTCTGATGAGTTGGCTGTTAAGGATTCTCTGGCTCTCAGTGTTCAGTGTGCAGGTTCTGTGTCTAATATGGCCCAACGCCTATTTGCTCGAACCCGCCAAGTTGAATCATTGGCGGCTGAAGTGATGAGTCTCAAACAGGAGATTAGAGGGCTCAAGCATGAGAATAAACAGTTGCACCGGCTCGCACATGACTATGCTACAAACATGAAGAGGAAGCTTGACCAGATGAAGGAATCTGATGGTCAGGTTTTACTTGATCATCAGAGAGATTTGTGGGTTTGTTCCAAAGGCATTTATTGCCTTCGTCTTCTGGGGCTGTACCGCGTAATGAAGCTCCAAATGATCAACCTCTGATGCCTCCTCCTTCTAGGGTTCTGTCCAGTACTGAGGCTTCGAATGATCCCCTTCCGGTGCCTTCTCTTCTTTCTGGGGGCTCTACGACTGACTGTTGAGACTTCTCCTAAGCAACCTTTGTGAAGGCTTCCTCTTGTTTGTTTATTTTGACTCAAGTATATGTACATATTTGTAACTTATCGGGGATATCAATAAATAAGCTTTCCTTCATTTCAACGTATTGTGTTAAATACATCAAAGCTTTTTTCGCTAAGTTCTTTGAATTTTCTTTTGTTGAAGCTTGTATGTGGAAGCTTTGTGAGTGGAGCATGTAGGTTGAGGTAGTGTTCCCTTAATTTCCCGAGTGAGGAAAACTTCTCGGTTGGAGACTTGGAAAATCCAAGTCACTGAGTGAGATCGGCTATATGAATCTTAGAACGCCATTGTGTTCTGTCCTGTGTCATGTCCTCCGTTAGATCCAAGTACTCTAAGTCTTTTCTTAGGGTCTTTTCCAAAGTTTTCCTAGGTCTTCCTTTACCCCTTCGGCCTTGAACCTCTGTCCCATAGTCGCATCTTCTAATCGGAGCGTCAGTAGGCCTTTTTTGCACATGTCCAAATCACCGTAACCGATTTTCTCTCATCTTTCCTTCAATTTCGGCTACTCCTACTTTACCCCGGATATCCTCATTCCTAATCTTATCCTTTCTCGTGTGCCCACACATCCAACGAAGCATCCTTATCTCCGCTACACCCATTTTGTGTACGTGTTGATGCTTCACCGCCCAACATTCTGTGCCATACAGCATCGTCGGCCTTATTGCCGTCCTATAAAATTTTCCCTTAAGCTTCAGTGGCATACGACGGTCACACAACACGCCGGATGCACTCTTCCACTTCATCCATCCAGCTTGTATTTTATGGTTGAGATCTCCATCTAATTCTCCGTTCTTTTGCAAGATAGATCCTAGGTAACGAAAACGATCGCTCTTTGGTATTTCTTGATCTCCGATCCTCACCCCTAACTCGTTTTGGCCTCCATTTGCACTGAACTTGCACTCCATATATTCTGTCTTTGATCGGCTTAGGCGAAGACCTTTAGATTCCAACACTTCTCTCCAAAGGTTAAGCTTTGCATTTACCCCTTCCTGAGTTTCATCTATCAACACTATATCGTCTGCGAAAAGCATACACCAAGGAATATCATCTTGAATATGTCCTGTTAACTCATCCATTACCAACGCAAAAAGGTAAGGACTTAAGGATGAGCCTTGATGTAATCCTACAGTTATGGGAAAGCTTTCGGTTTTGTCCTTCATGAGTTCTTACGGCAGTCTTTGCTCCTTCATACATATCCTGTTATAGCTTGGATATATGCTACTCGTACTCCTTTCTTCTCTAAAATCTTCCAAAGAATGTCTCTTGGGACCCTATCATACGCTTTTTCCAAATCTATAAAGACCATGTGTAAATCATTTTTCCCATCTCTATATCTTTCCATCAATCTTCGTAAGAGATAGATTGCCTCCATGGTTGAGCGCCTTGGCATGAACCCGAATTGGTTGTCTGAAACCCGTGTCTCTTGCCTCAATCTATGCTCAATGACTCTCTCTTAGAGCTTCATTGTATGACTCATTAGCTTAATACCCCTATAGTTCATGCAATTTTGTACATCGCCCTTATTCTTGTAGATAGGCACCAAGGTGCTCGTTCGCCACTCATTTGGCATCTTCTTCGTTTTCAAAATCCTATTGAAAAGGTCAGTGAGCCATGTTATACCTGTCTTTCCCAAAACTTTTCACACTTCGATGAGTATATCGTCTGGGCCTACTGCTTTTCTATGCTTAATCTTCTTTAAAGCTACAACCACTTCTTCCTTCCGGATTCTACGATAAAAAGAGTAGTTTCTACACTCTTCTGAGTTACTCAACTCCCCTAAAAAAGCACTTCTTTCATGTCCTTCATTGAAAAGATTATGAAAATAACCTTTCCATCTGTCTTTAACCGCGTTCTCTGTAGCAAGAACCTTTCCATCCTCATCCTTGATGCACCTCACTTGATTTAGGTCCATTGTCTTCTTTTCCCCTGCTCTAGCTAGTTTATAGATATCCAACTCTCCTTCTTTGGTATCTAGTCGCTTATACATATCGTCATAAGCCGCTAACTTAGCTTCTCTCACAGCTTTCTTCGCCTCTTGCTTCGCTTTTCTATACCTTTCACCATTTTCATCGGTCTTATCCTTGTATAAGGCTTTACAACATTCCTTCTTAGCCTTCACCTTTGTTTGTACCTCCTCATTCCACCACCAAGATTCCTTTTGGTGTGGGCAAAGCCCTTGGACTCTCCTAATACCTCTTTTGCTACTTTTCGGATACAACTAGCCATGAAAATCCCACATTTGGCTTAGCTTCCCCCCTCTCTAGCCCACACACACTGGGTGATTACTTTCTCTTTGAAAATGGCTTGTTTTTCTTCTTTTAGATTCCACCATCTAGTCCTTGGGCACTTCCAAGTCTTGTTCTTTTTTCTCACACTTTTGATATGTACATCTATCACCAACAAGCGATGTTGATTAGCCACGCTCTCTCCTGGTATAACTTTGCAATCCTTACAAGTTATACGATCCCCTTTCCTCATTAGAAGAAAAATCTATTTGTGTTTTTGACGACCCACTCTTGTAGGTGATCACATGTTCTTCTCTCTTCTTAAAAAGAAGGTGTTGGCTAAGAAGAGATCATATGCCATTGCAAAATCCAAGATAACTTCCCCATCCTCGTTTCTCTCCCCAAAACCATGGCCACCATGAAAACCTCCATAGTTGCCTGTCTCCCTGCCTACATGTCCATTTAAATCTCCTCCTATAAATAACTTCTCCGTTTGAGCAATTCCTTGCACCAAGTCTCCAAGGTCTTCCCAAAATTTCTCCTTCGAACTCGTATCCAACCCTACTTGAGGTGCGTACGCACTTGATCACATTGATAAGTTCTTGTCCTATTACAATCTTGATTGCCATGATTCTATCTCCTACCCTCTTGACATCTACAACATCTTGTGTCAAGGTCTTGTCCACGATGATGCCAACACTGTTTCTCGTTCTATTTGTGCCCGAAATACCAAATAGTTTAAAACCCTGAGTTTTCTAGATCCTTTGCCTTAACGACCAACCCACTTAGTTTCTTGTATGGCACATAATATTTATCCTTCTCCTCACCATAACTTCTACTACTTCCATAGATTTTTCCCGTTAAGGTTCCTATATTCCACGTTCCTAAACGCATTTTACTCTCTTGAACTCTACCCTTTTGTCCTAGCTTCTTTCACCCTTCCCCGTCTAATAGGATCAAAGTACTTCTTTTGTGTGTCCCGTGTGTAAAGTTGATAGGAGCATATGCTTCCCAAACAACTTTGAGTGGAGTCGTTCGAAAAGAGAAGTTTCTATAGCCCCCATGCTCATTTAACACTGCATCCGGGTGCCGATGGAGATACAGCGACCCTTGCTCACTTATCACTGTGCTCGGGCCACACAGCGCGCCACTTACGGGTGACGCCCTAGCTTTAGCGCGATTTCGTTCTGGATTCATTTTCATAAGGATTCGACGTAATCATGGAGTGCCGGCTGTCGACTACCTGACGCCCTCCCCCTCCTCCTTTATCCGGGCTTGGGACCGGCAATATAAGATAAACTTACACAGCGGAGTTTATATTAAAATTCTAATGATATAAAAAAATAACTTTCCTATCCAACCTATTGTGTTAGGACAGTGATTTGTTAGCTAGTTATCAACTGTGGTTGGTTCCTTAAAAAGGTAGAAGATCATACATGGTGGATGATTGTACCAAGTTCTGAAAATAATGCACAAAGCTCCCCGAGGTTTGGCATGATACTTCCCTTGCATCGAAGCAACACACAACAGGCAATTATAAAGCACTATGTATCTGTCATATTGGTTCGTTGCACTTGGATATAACTATTTCCCTGTAGGGTAAATATTGGGCTCAGATTCCGCCTGCAACTGAAAGTCGGTCGTGGGAAGTTCTGTTTACTTTTATATATCTTCTTTGATACATATGTTCCTGTCTGTGCAGATAGATGAGGTGATTAGTCAAGCTCAAACAACAAGGGCAGTCTTGGGCTCTCAAAGGGCTCTGTTTGGAGATGTTCAAGGGAAAGTGAAAAATCTAAGTGACAAGTTCCCTATAATCCGCGGCCTACTTGGTACTTTACGAAACAATCCATGCTATTCGTTTTCATCTTCTGATGTGGCTTTTTATTCATTTTCTGTTCACTCTTTTTTCTTTACAGGTTCGATTCGAAGGCGGCGATCAAGAGACACGCTTATTCTGTCTGCAGTCATTGCAGCTTGTACCTTGTTTCTTATTATCTACTGGCTTTCAAAATAAATATACGAATGAGATATGTCATACAGAAAGTTATAAACGATGGTACCTCTCTAGGGAATTTTGCTTCTGTAATTTCTTGGGACAAATTGTTTATATATTTCAAAAGTTGGTGGTGCCTATTTTGTGGTGCCATTCCAATGAATTATATTTTGGCTTCTACACAGTAACTGTTTAAAAATGGGAGTCCGAGAGAAACTTACATGTCACGGGTTCATATCCTACTTTCTGTCTCTCTCTTCTCCCATATCCCCTCGTGTGATATGTGACATGTCATGTGAGGACTAGAAAGGATGGTTATGAACCCGTAACAAGTTGTTGTAGTCTGCAATTAAATATCAAAATCTAAACTAAATCAAACTAAATCCTGCAACTGCACTGGCATTATTTGTTTTTTTTCCTTACCAAAAGACACATTTTCTATGTCTTAACATGGAACTTGGTGGTGCAACGCGTGAGGTGAAAAGGCCTTTGGGGTCCTGGAATGAATGGTCCATCTGGGTCTTAACCAGAAGCCATCCAAAGTGCTTAGGGAAAAAGCCAAATCAAAACTAAACCCTGTCAAATCTGCTTTTTGATGGAGCTATTACAGCATGCAGAATCACAGAATTTATTCCAAATGTTGGAGTGGTTTTGGGACATGTTTTGATGAGAGTCGATCATAGGGAATAGATCCTATCCGGATCTTCTTCGTGAGAATCTTGGAGATTACTTCATCGTGTCCGTTCATCTGTCATCTTACTAGTCATAAATTATTTTGAATTTTTTTATTTAAAATTAAACACAAGCAGTACTTGACAAAAATTAACTGCACGATGTATGATCAACGAGCACGATCAAGTGATTCTTGAGATTCTCACGAAGAAGATCTGGAAAGGATCCTCATCCCAATCAGAGAGGATTTTATTGATTAAAACATTAATTCCTCATCCCAATCAGAGAGGATTTTATTGATTAAAACATTACTTAATTAATTAACAAAAAGGATACGAAGGGACAACAAAGTTGGATGAATTGAAAGAAAAATAAATCCTTTAAACCCCACATGCAGAAACCTGCCTGGATGTTGGGCAGGTAAATTAGGTCAAGTTTTGAAAGGCAGTCACCAAGATTAGGAACAATGGTAGACCATGTGTTTTAAAACTACAAGAATGTTGGAGTCTGGTGGCAAAGGTATAAACGACTGCCCAAACAAATCAAGCTTAGGGAAAATTGAAGGGACGAGGGTAGGGGTGGGTTCAAAAAACCGAAAATCGAAAAAAATCGAAAGCCGAACCGAACCGAAATAAAAAAAACCGAACCGAATGAAAAAACCAAACCGAAATAATTAAATTAATATTTTTTTAAATTTTATTTATTAAATTATTTGATTTTATTATATTAGAATATGATACTTCAGACTGCTGCTTTAGTAGGACTTGTTTGCTTTCCAATTCAAATTGTCTTCTCAGCTTCTCCATCTACAACAAAAATTAGACTTATACCATTAAATGCAATATTTCTAGTTTATATCATTAAGTGCAACACATATATAAGAACACATATCTCAACTGCACTGCAGTTGATTAGGGAAAGCAAACAACGTATAAAAGTCTCATGAGTTTATTAAACACTACGAGATCAAAAACAAAATTCAAACTTTCTCACCTATGGCCAAGTATAGTAGCTTCCGTGGCCTAACAATTTTGAAAAGTATATCAATATATTCAAAAATATTGATGAACAACTCTTCAAAATTTGCTGGTGGTAGAAGTTGAACACAGAATAGAGAAATTATATTATGTAACCACATATATGGATAAAAAAAATTCGGACCATAAAGATAAAGAAAATATCAAAAATTGTTACCTAGACAATAATAAAAATAAATAGTATATTATTGAATGTTTATCTTATTGCTAGTGAAGAATACATGTATATATATATATATAGAGAGAGAGAGAGAGAGAGAGAGAGAGAAAGAGAGAGAGAGAGAGAGATTGAGAGAAAGAGAGGAATGAATAAGGTCGTACTCCATCATCATCGTCTAAAAAGAAATCTATTTACAGTTAAACTTTAAACCCAAAATATTTAAAAAAAAACCTTTATGTTATAATTCTAGTTGAACTTTAAATATTTATTTTCATTATCTTTAAGTCTAGTCGGAATATTTATGTTATGATTGTGTTGGATATGTTAAAATTTAAGATTTCAAATTTTTTCATTTTTTGAAAAAAATCCGAAATCGAACCGAAACCGAACCGGAAAAAACCGAACCGAAAATAATTGAATCGAACCGAAATTTCGGTTTGATTTCGGTTTTGGCAAAAAACCGAACCGATTTGAACTGAACCCACCCCTAGACGTGGGTCATTTGGGAAACAAGTTCGACAGAGCAAACACTGTCAACATATTTTCTGAACATTGAAGGGACGTGGGTCAATTTTCAAATAGTTATTCTAGTCTTATAATGTCACATGTTAGGTCATCTACAATGCTAAACTTATACGAGGTATGAATAGATTTATTGTGTGAACTTGTAAGTTTACTATTTTTCATTCAGCACTTTTATTTTTGTCAATTAATCTGTTGAATATTTATAAATAGCTAATTTTCTTTTCAACGCCATATTTTAAAACTTTAATATGCTATTCCCCCCCCCCTCCTCCCATAGATTTGTTGTGTGAACTTGTAAGTTCACTATTTTTCATTCAGCACTTTTATTTTTGTCAATTAATTAATCCGCTGAATCTTTATAAATAGTTAATTTTCTTCTCAACGCCATACTTTAAAACTTTGATATGCTATCCCCCCGCCCCCAAAGAAAAAAGTTGTCATGTGGACAATCCATGAGCCATTTTAGACATTAGAGAACCAAATGACTTTTCTCCCCTCTTTAAAACTCACTCCGGTGAACAAATTCTACTATCCTTCCAAGTGGTTCAAGCATAATCTATCAAATTTTGTAGCAACGACTCATTTAAGTGTGAAAATAACTTCAATTTTTAAGTGGCTCACGTGTTATCCACGTGATGAATTTGAATAGAATTTGAAGGCAATGTTGAGTAATCTACCGATGGGGAGATAATTGGCTATTAAAAGTGGTAAAATTGGTAGTGTATTAAATTGTTTGTTTTCTTCTCCAATGCATACTCAACTCTTAAAACACAAATATGACTTTTGACATTTGTGTATGTGGACTAAAGAAAAAAAAAATGGAGTTAAAACTCAAATTTGACCTAGTTTTAACAATGTGCATTAGGCTATCTTCAAAGGAATGGAAACTTTAGAGCCAAAAGTTATATTTGACACTAAAATTTTACTCAATATCCCTCTCTAATGCATCGAAAAAGTTGGACTCATATACGATGTTGGAACCTATATTTTGCACCACCGTAGATGGTTGAGTTACGCGAGATTGGTTACCTATAAACAAGAGTAAACAACAGTGATTAGCCTAAGGTACTGGCGTGGTATCAGGCAAAGGCACTTCGACAGTTAAGTAAGTATAAATCTTGGAACTCAAGTAGTGGGAAAGAGAGCAAAGTATGCAATACTAGTGATATTTCTTAGGATGGTGTATTTATACTAGTCGAAAGAAAATCCTTTTAGGATATAAAATCCACATTAAACCGAAAGAATCCCAAAAGATATCTAGCATAAGATAGTACTTCATTTTTGGATTGCAATAACTTGCAGCGCACGCCAATCCTTAAATTGTAGAAACCTCTAAGAATATAGAAAACCAATATGATCCTCATTTGGATCAGGCTTTTGTGTCTTACGAAGTAAGCATGGTCAATCTCAACAAGGCATGCAAGTCTTGCCTACCATTATGAAGTCCAACATGATAATCCCGATCGGAGCTATTGAGTTCATGACCTAACTTATGAGGCATTAGTATTCTGATCCGCCATACTTTTGCCCAATGAATTCAGGGTTCCACAAATGCCCCAAACTATGCTTCGGAAAGGGCGTTCCTCTTGAGGATGGATAGTTACCAAGGACCATGGTTTTCGGAGGATATCAGAATAACATGTCATTCGAAATTTTCTTACACGTGCCAATCTCGCTCTGTTACCAACATTGGGTAGTGGAGAATTCCAAATTCAAGCGCACAACTTGGAAAGTCATGCCATTAAGATGGGTCGTCACATCCCGTGTGCATGAAGCCTGAGAGGTTTCAACTGATGGAGTTTCTGAATCTTGAAGAGAGTCGTTCTAGATTCAACAACTATTTGATTACGAAGAAAACGCTATATAAATCCTTTTTCTTCTGTTCATTTTTTTCCAAAATTTTCCAATTATCCCTTGCACAAAAATTTCTAAAGACCTCTAAATTCTTTCTTCTATCATTTTTTTTTCCGACTAAAACCTGTTGAGAGTTGTTCCACATCGGTGAGGGACAAGGTTTCTTTGTGCTTATATGATCTTAGGCTACTCCTCATATTGCCAATTGGTTTTATGATGGAATCCCAATTTCATCATGGTATCAGAGCGGGTTGTCCTCGTGTGAAGCCAAACGGCCACACGCACTCCACGTCACCAGTTGTTGTCCACGTGTAGGCTTGAAAATCCGACACACGTGCGCGGGCGTGTTGAGAGTTGTCCCACATCGGTGATGGACAAAGTTTCTTTGTGCTTATATGATCTTGGGCTACTCCTCGTATTGCCAATTGATTTTATGGTGAATCCTCAATTTCATCAAAACCATGGCTTTTTCGAGTAGCGTTCAACCTGCGCTAGCCACCAACTACCATACTTTATTCAAGCCTTCATTGCTGAGAGTGAAGAGCGAAGCATACTGCCAAAATTTTGCTCATCATATGTGAGATCTTCTAAACAGTTATAGCTTACAATGGGAGGTCGGCTAAGATATCCATTAATCGTTGCCAGACCATTCCAAACTTTCCCCGCACCAGAATCCACCCCTAATATTTAGACTTGGGCCTGATATTTTCTTTGTTAGACTTTACCAAGGAAATCATCACCAACTATGGGTTTTCCCTTTGCAACCTTACCCCGACTTCATTTCGAATCATTACCAACTTCAACTGCTAAACAAATGGTATGATGCAGAACTTGGAGTACAATAGTTCAAAGCCTTATATTCCGTGCAGACCAACTCTAAAAGTTAGTACTTATTTCAATAATGGGAAACCCTCCACTGGGACATGTACATC